ACCGAGCGATTCTGTGATTCTGTGAAATCATCCCAGTGGAAACAGGAAACATTTCAGCCTTCCCATGGAGCGGGCAAAGAGGGGTATGGGCCCGCAGGTCTGTTTGATCTGGACCTTATTGAAACGTAACCGCGGCCGCTGCTTTGATCTGCAAAGCGCTCGCCCTCGGTGCGGTATTGCCGAACATCCTGCGCACGGGAGCAGCCGACAGGCAACCAGTTTGTGTCCTCGTTAGTGCGCGGGTGCGCCTTGATCTTCCCCCACCCGCAGGGTGGAGATCCCCAGTTTGACGGCAGATAAGTTATCTGCAGTTATTTATTACTCGTTTCTCGCCGCCTTTGGTGGGCATCTGTTCACGGGAGAAGCATCTGGTTAACTAGGGGTGGGTTTAAAAAGGGATTAACAGGGAGGGATGGAAATGTGTGTGTTTTGTGGTGTGTTCTCCCAGCGAAAACCGAATTGGGGATCATTTACAGCCCGGGGCATCAGGGGGACTCCCCCTCCCTGGCAGCGCACCCCAGAAGGCTGAGCTGCGGCACAAAGCAAGCTTCAGAGTCCCCCAGAGAAGTTGGTTTAGGTCCTCAGATGATTTTGTGTGTAGTTTTTTTCTAAAGGTGCTCCCATCAAAACAAATGATTTGGTGTTTGTCTGGTTTTATTCAGCGCTCTCAGGTGAAGCTGTTCAATCACACCATCATGAAACTCGTGCCATGGGGGCTTTAAACCGAGTCCTGTTGCTCCCAGCCTTTGCTCCAGAGAGGGTCTAACACCTTATTGATAAACTTTCAGGGTTAAAAACCCCCAAGTTTTGGTATTCAAGGGGGGTGACAATGGTGCAGTTTTGCTCTGGGAAGAACGGGGGTAACCTTGGTCCCACACTCACCTATGGGGTCTGGAGCCACTGTTTGCGAGGGGACCCTGCTGCCACCACCCCCGCTCACCCCCGACTCCTTGTGCCCCTTAGGATGAAGCCTCTGGCCCTCCGTGAAGCGATGGCCACCTCCATGCCACCATCAAGGCCCGACGCCATGTCCTGTCCCTGCGCAGAGCCCAGGTACGACCCCCCCGCCCA